CCAGAGAGATGATGGTCCTATTCCTTGATGACTGCAGGTTGGATCGCAGCAGCGACAACGCCACTCCAACGCCATTCTTATCCCTGAGAAACATCTTATTCAAGCTTAAAAAGCTCGAGAGGACAATTACACCCGGATAGTAAACTATCTCGCAGAGATATCTCAGATTTTATAAAACTAAGTTCGAAATCCAGTACGAGCAGTAGGACACCTAACTCCTTCAACAGATATTAGATTTGCATATAGCAAAGCCTCCAATTTATTATCTTTATAATTATACTTGGTGATCTTAGTTTTACAAAAAAGAGGATAAGGGAGGGCGTCGCCACGACGGGGCCCGACCACGAACCAGTCGTAAAAATCCGCGTAAAAATTCGATAAAGAACGATCTTCTCTTCCAAATATCGATTTTCGGGAGCAACGACGATCGGATCACCGTTCAATCGTAACTATACTAACACTATGTACTAACATAAATGATAGCTTTCATTCTCAATATATGTATAACTCATCTGGATAATACTGCACATAATGGATCTGCAATTTTAATTAAAAACAACATTAAAGAAGAAGAAAAATCATATCGTACTAATAAAATACAGACTACTAATATAGTAGAAAATTGAAAGGGACTTCTTCTGATATCTGTCATATATAGTATAACATTAAAAAAAAGATCTATAAAGATTTTTTTTAATTCCTTATGTCACAGATTTCTAGTCGTGGTGATTATAACACCAAACATACTCACTGGGGTTCAAGTAATCCTAAAGGTCGTCAATCCTATTTGCTATACAAATAATGAAACTTAATGTTTTAAAGGCAAATTGACTTACTGGTCTGCTAATAGCAAAAAGAAATATCAAATCTCACTTCTGCGTGATAAAAAGTATCGCAAATACATATATAAACTGTAAACGTAGCCTAGAATCTTTCTCGGATCATTCACTAATGATAATTAACGTAAACAAAAAAATTGCATTAGTAACAAAACTATGTTACAAACTTCCTAAACATAAAACTGATTCTACTTTTAACAAAAAAAGAATTTTTATTATTTATACAAAAAATTTTTATTAAATAATATTTTGTAATTCTTCAAATTTAAATTTGAAATAGAATGCTTTTTATGAAATATGCATTGTAATAATAAATATATCACTTATAAATAATAAAAATAAAAAGAAAATAGAATGTATATATTCTTGCATAATAAAGATTAATTGTAATTGCAAAGTAAGTTTGTAATTTATTTATAAAAATTTTTCCATAAATACACTTCGGCGAACAGCATTATTACAACCTTCTTTATATTTGTACCATATCCCATGTTTCGTTAAGATGTTCTGCATCTGAGTACATCTTTTCTGCGATGTCAGAAGACTAGAATTTATTAATTTATTTTGCGTTTCAGCATTTTCGTTTTTATTCGTCATGATATTTGCAAAAAAATCTTTATGTACCTAAAATATTGTTAAATCAATAATTGATTTGTACAATTGAATACAACGATGATTTATAAAACTAAAATCCTTAATAATCTAAATTCTTTTTTATTTCATATATATGTTTTTTATTATTTCATATATATAAAAAAGAATGTGCAAAACTTACTCTATCCTTTAATAATGTCATATTCTTTTTAGGCTGCTTCATACTATTCAAAGAATTAGAAAATTTATTCTGAATACTTTCTATAATTTCTGGTTTTTCTGAATTCGTCATGTTTTTTAAACGAATTCCATCAAGTCCTGTTAAACTATTCGCACGCTTCAAACGTTCAACTTCTAACTCTTGCGCAATTATTTGTTGTACCGCATATGCAAGTCTTCGATGCACATTACAATCAGGAAGAATACCAACTTCCAGAATATTTCTAAAAAAAGATGTTTACATCATTTTAGAAATAAAATGCCAAATATGTATTATTTATAAGCTCTCTTATTATGATTGTAACATACGGATCTAATTTGTACATATATCCTCCTTGAGGATTTTTCTCTTGTATAAATGATAAACCAAATTCAAGCATCACATTTATTATCCTAGCGAGCTCAAGCTTCTCTTTCGGTGAATACAGATGAGAAGGAACTGTACGCAATCTGGGCGTTAGAATGTCTGGCAAAAAGCTAATAATATCCGTAGTTAGAGTAAAAATGTCGCATCCATAAACTTTTTGTATTGCCATTAAAATACTCATATTCTTCGCCGATTTTTGAATTACCTACAAAAACAGTGAAAAGAATATAACATTTAGAAAATGTTTTAGAACATATCAAATATATATAGGGTATTCAAAATGGGATCTCTCTATGAGTTTCAAAAGTATGCACTTTCAAAATGACCCGAATAAAAGTTGTAGGGGTCATGAAGGACTATCTTTTGATCTTGAACTTGATCTTGAGAATCATCTGAAGGTCAACATTGAATTTTTAAATGGGAACCCCCTTTTTTTGATTCCGGATTTGAAAAGGGCGGGAAATTTTACGTTCAGATATTGTCATGTTAGTGGTCAAAGTGATCTCTAAGAGCCATTTGGAGGTCAAATTAATGACAGTCATGGAATGAAATTATTAATAAATAATTGTTAATACGATTAGTGAATGGAATTATTAATAAATATTGAATACTAATATCTGAGGATCCCTAATATCTCTAATGAAAAAAATACATTAAACAACAGAAAATTGGAGAGCTTTCTGTTCAAGAATTTTCAAAAATTTTCTATGTCAATCGAGAAAAACTACATGTATCTATGAGGAACAATCAAATGAAGACTTTTCCTATCTTTATTAATAATCTCATTCACTATTGACTAACTCTTGATCACTAAGATGACTCACTTCAGAACATCTACTTGAAAATTTTTCCTTATTTTTAATTTAAAATGATTGAGCTTTCTAAATGTGAGCGAATATCTTTATTGATGATGAGAGGATGGGATGATCAGCAAAGGGGTTATAAACAAATCATGCAACCGTTCAATGAATTTTACAAATTAAAAATAATAGAATTTCAAAGAATAATGGAAAAATAAAGCAATGCAAGCCTTAAATAATAAATATAGGAATAAAAATTAATAAGAGTTGGCATTGAGTTTTCATAAACAATAAAATCTTCATACAAATAATTGGTAGTAAGTAATGTAAACATTTTGACTTATAATTCGAATCCCCTTTGTAATATGCATAAATAGAATATATAATCTAAAATGAAATTGAATTCAGAATGCAAAACGCTTTAGATTATATCTTTTTTTATACATATTGAGCGTTTAAATTCTAAATTGAAATATCTGTTACTTATTGATAACAAATTAAAATATCGATTACTTATAACAATTCCAATGATGAATCATTCATTGTACATAAAGTTTATGTTGTTTATTTATTGATTCACACCTTAAAATCTAATTGATTTATTTAATACATTACATACTTACTTCATTAGTAACAGAAGGATATGATAATTTTATCTTCTGTGTTTGAGCAAGATACAAATGCCATGCAATAAATCCATAATTTGTATAAGGCATAAGTGACCAAATCTGCTTGTATGCAATAAGTGATGTTACTGAATCAAAAAATTGAAACCATTCTAAAGATATAGATATATTATCAAGTTTCCAATCACAGATTTCCGGATAGTTATGAAATATTCCTTGTGATATCTTTTCTATTTCACCTAAATAAATATTTAAATAATTATTAAAATTTTTAAAATTCTAAATTATTAAAAAATATGAAGATTAATTTTATAAAATTACCATTTTGCACAATTCTTAAAATGTTTTGGATTCTTTCAGAAATAGAAATCTTTCCTTTGTTCATGGGAAATGTTAATATACTTTTCCATAAATCAAACAAATTCTTGCGAGTGTCTTTTAAACTTAAAGATAAATCATATTTTAAATTGGCGCTACCTATGTACTGTAATGCTCCTATGCAAGCTCGAACATCACAATTGTATCTTTCTGCTATTTTTACAAGATCGCCAAAATCTATATTCAATTTTTCTTTTCTTACTAAATCCATTAGACGTTCTGCCAATCTTAAAGGATTTACTTCTTGTATCAAAAATATTACGGCAGCGGCTTTTAATATTCTATAAATACAAAAATTTAAAGATCTTTTAATACATTCATTGTGCTATAGAATTAAGTTAATATATAATCAAGTTATTATATAAATCATGAATTCGTTACATCTAATTTCTTTATTTGATGCCTTTGGTTAAAATTACCTTAACGAAGGAGTATATAATTCATTACAAATGCATATTATGGGACGTGTACAGCCATAAAACATTTTTTCTGATTGTTCTGTTCCTTTTTTACTTTTTGGCACTAATTTGCCTTGGATGAATTTTAATAAAAGTTCGATAGATGCAGCTGGTGCACCATCAATCTCATCAAAAATTAAACAATTTGGACGGGGATCAGCACCCATTACAGCTTTCATTTCCGTTGATGCAAGAAGAATTTGTCTAAATAAAAATATCATGTAATTTCTTGATCATGTTATCATTATATAAATTTTGCAAATTACCTAAATGTATCTGGAGTTCTTTCATCACTTGCATTAATTTCAACGACATTATAACCGGCATGTTTGGCTGCTATATGTGCAAGAGTTGTTTTTCCCAATCCAGGTGGACCACTGAGTAAAGCTATCCTTTTTATTGGATATCCTTTGTTATCCACTTCCCCAATATCTTTTTCATCATCAATGTTATTCTTCTTTTCATATGTAGATGGTTGTTTCTTTCTTGGTATCAGAGCATTTTGATTAAATACAATCTTATCCCAGAGTTTCAGCCAATGCAAGAATTGTCTGTTAATAGTTTCATCTGAGAGTAAGTCTAAATATGATCGAGGTCGATATTTATCTACCCATAATTCATCATTGATTATATTTTTTATAGTGAATGACTGTCCTGATAACTTCTGTTTTCTTATCATCTGTAATATGTCATATTAGTATTGTACTATACAAACAAAATATAAAGGAAGAAAATAGAAAGACATACGATTTCTTCAGCTTGAATTTTCAATTGACTATAAGGCATTGAAAGCAAATTGGTAATTGGTCTTCTAGATTGATTGATATCTTTTGATATATTTCTGACTTTGATATACAAACGTTGAGAATCATATGATCTGGTAATAGCCACAAAGTTCCAAGATGGAACTCGTAAAGAAATAGAATTTTTCTTGCTGGATTAAACACAGAAATATTTAACATAATAGATAAAATATTATATTTCATCATTTAAATCATGTTGTAAGATTATCAATTCACTTACTGGTCATAATTTATCTTTACTGCTGCTTCTCCATTATCATCCAGTAAATGTCTAGTAATCCATATTTTTTTAATGACATCTTCAGGTTGATCCCATCTAAGCTTTTTTTTTCTCGGTTCTACATTAGCATTAACTAAAAATAAATTTTTCAATAAAAATCTCAAAAATAATCCAGACATTATATTTTTAAGACTTTCAAATTCATATTGTGATTTATAGGTTACCGTTGTCAAGCTGTGTTAGCTTGTTCCTTATCTTAATGAAATAAATTGTAATATTCATATTGAAATAACATTTTAACAATGTTAGTAACCTATATAATACAATGGTAACTCATAAACCATAAAATAATAATTGAATCATTTTTATAATTATTTTATATTATTAATCAATTACCTGAGCTATCTGTTTCTAAGAAATCAGAAATGTCATCAAATAATTCTTCATAACCGTGTTTCTTATTACTAGTGCTAAGTATACTGTCATCATGTAAGACTTCATAATAGCGTTTTCTATTATTGCTAGTTGTTTTATTAGTTTTATCCAAATTAACAGATGTAGAAATACCTATTTAATGATTACTTCTATTAAATGTATAATATATAATTATTACTT